ACGGTGTTTCCTGCTTGTGTGCTTACTCGTGCACAGCGGCGCCAGCTTGCCGACATTGACCTCGAGGACACGTTCATGTCTGTGCCGATGCTGGATAAACCCTCGAAGATTGAGTCTGTGACCCCTGATCCTAATCACTCTGTTCCCCCCCCTGAAGTTCCCTCTACTAAGGACGCGCTGATCGCGGCACAACAAGAGGATCAGTCCTTGGAACCCTGTCGTGTCTCTGCCTTGGACAAGCCGGACGTAAACGAGCACCCCACGGCATACTTCTTTCGCGACCAAGTCCTTATGCGCCAGTGGTCCCCACCGGACTCACCATTCGAGTGGGCCACGGTGTTCCAAGTGGTGGTTCCGCGAACGTACCGTGAACATGTACTGTCCTTAGCCCATGATCACCCGTGTTCGGGACACCTCGGTATTCGGGGACATTGTCCCGAGTTTTGCGGTATATTTATTGGCCGGGTGTTACTTCCGATGTGAAAACATATTGTAGAACTTGTCATGTTTGTCAGTCTGTGGGTAAACCCAACCAGTTGATTGCGCCTGCCCCGTTGAAACCCATTCCTGCACTCGGTGAACCCTTCGAACACGTTATTATAGATTGTGTCGGCCCGTTGCCGAAAACTCGCTCAGGTAATTGTTACCTGTTCACTTTGTTGTGTGCTGCAACTCGTTACCCGGAAGCCATTCCCATACGTAGTCTTCGGACCCCTGTGATTGTGAAGAGCCTAATTAATTTCTTCACCACGTTCGTGCTCTGTTTGTTTTCTTGTGTTTATTATGTGGGTTTTGATTTGGGGTCTGTGTCTGTTAGTGAACCCTGTGGGTTCACTCATGTGTGGGGGGGTGTTACGTGCCGTAAGTTTGGGTTACGTGCCGTAAGGGAGATGTGCCGTAAGTTTAGGAGGATGCCTGCAGGTCCTTCGGACGTCCTGTCCACTCGCCGATTGGTTAACCGCCCCCTCGACTCCGCCCTCTGGACCTGACCCCGCCTCCCTTGCCCTCGGAGCAGTTTCCGGTTCATCGGCTGAAGAGATTGCCACTTCGTCCCTTCGTCTGCCCGCTACTTGCTTCTCGCCTGCTAGCTCGCTCTCCGTTCGCTTTACTTTGTTTGTTTGATTGACTGTGTGTGACTGATTTGCCCTCGACTTTTGATTCTCGCCTCGCCCTTACTTGTACTTTTGCCCTGGTTTCTGATTGCTTGATTGGTTTTGGACTTTCGCCTGTGTTTCGACTTCGCCTCTCGGTTTTCCCTTTTGATACCTTTGCCTTGGCTTGGTGTTTCGTGTTTCACTAGGTGTGTAGGGAGTGTTTGTACTGTGTTTGTGAAAAACTATAAAAAAAACTATAAAAAAAGACTCCCTCTGTGTCCCGTGTTCCCTTCTCCTAGCCCTAGTTGTCCTGTCCTCCCCAATCCCTCCTTCCCTTTCACTTTGTTGCGGTCCAACCCTAGACTGGATCGTAACATTACCACACTGAACTCTAAAGTTTTTTTTTTAACCGTTAAATTAGATTAATAAGCGAAGCTTTCTTGTGTCACTCATTTTTCAGTTTATAGGTATATGCGCCTGTCTATATATATATATATATATATAGACATGAGTCCTCCTTCTAGCAGTGCACTTCACACCACTTAAAATTTCCCATTCCTTTAGACCAGTGGTTCTCAACCTTTTTTTGCAGTGGGCCGCACTATGTCCAAGTTCAAGTCTCACGGGCCGCATATTATTTACATATGACGTTATCAACGCTCAATAACCAGATATTATGTATCTAAAATTATTATAATTAGATGTATTATTATCATTAGAGAGTATAATTCTACTTACCATTAATGGGACACCTGATGTTGTCGGGAGCCGACCAATTTGGTGAAATTCGGCTCAAAAGGAGTAACAGCACAATGAAGTTGTGACTGTAAGTTGTAGTCTGTAGGACGCACGGAAACGTGACTTGATGCGCGTCATTGCCGAAAATGTGCGTTCGCAAATGTATGTGGATCCAAATATGGAAAGCACTTTTGAACTTAATAATCTGAGGTTTTGTCCAGAGATGTTTCGCCACATTTCTGCAACTGAGGATGACTGCTGCGAGGTTTGGCTGTGTCCTCTTGCCTAAACATCCATCAGTTCATCTTCGAGCGCGCGGCGAGGCAAACCGAAAGTTGCAGCCAAGTTGCAGCTGCATATTTTATTTGCTCAAAATCAGAAAAACGAGAGATGAATTTTTCTTGCATTTGACTGACAGTTTTAACGAATCGTTCTCGTTCTCACATCTTTTTTCTCCTCTAATAACAAATTTGTCCATTTTGATCGTTAGTTGATGACTGTTTTAAATCTGTCAGAGCGCGCGCGCTTGTAATTGTGTGCGTTAACTGTGTAATTGCATCAGTTCATAGTTGCGTCAGTTCTGCGCATATATGAATACATGATCACCAAAATGATTTTATGTGACAAAAATATTGTTCAAAGTTTGTTTAATACATTTATTTGTTTAATACATTTTTAAAAATGAATTGTAAAACCACTTATTATTATTTTATTTATTTTTAAATTTTTTTTCTTTTTTCACGTGGTCAGCATCGCGGGCCGCATTTGCATTTGTGACGGGCCGCATGCGGCCTCCAGGCCGCAGGTTGAGAACCACTGCTTTAGACGGTCACCTTTAGATGTCATCCTACAATTCATGAGGAGCTGCCAGATAAGCTGACAGTCATCTCTGCCATTAGAAATTAGTTTCAGCCCTCTGTCTGGCTGGTTTTTGGTCGTTCCCAGTGTCTTCTGTTTCACCTTGTTCTCATGTACTGCTGTGTTAAAAATGTTGCGCCTGGAAGCAGCCTACTTCGCTGTGTAGCCTTCTGCCAGCAGAACCAGGACTTAACAATGCAGATTCTTAAAAAAAATAATGGAGTGGTCTCTTAATTTTTTACCAGAGCTATATGTGAAAAAGTTCCAATCTTAAGTTCTCTTCTCTAGATTTAGTGGAAATCAACTGCAGTTGTACAATTCCATATATTTTGTCATTACAAAACCTGACTTCTGTACACTTCTGAATTTTGATAAAGACTTACATTTGTTAAAACTGGTCACGATTTTATGAATTTAATCCTAAATATTTTTCTGTCGATATTGTACACAAAACTAAGCCAGATGATATATTAATGGACAAAAGCTTGTAGGTTGATAAAAGAATATATGCAACAATTAAATGTTCTGAAAACATCAAAGTCCTAAATTATATTAAATAGTCATTTGTATTGCAAATATTTCAAAGATATAAAAATGCCTAAAATATTCCTTTTAAAAAGCAATTAACCAAAAATTGCAATTTCCAAAATTTGCATTTATTAATATATACACAAAAGTGAATTAAATTCTCCGTTGTTTCATCTTCATTCACATAACAACACTGATGTATGTTCTCCCTCATTAAGAGTCATTCCACCATCATACTGATGCCCAAAATATCATGCATAATAGGACTAAATGATTAACAGACCTGTTGCTCTGGCATCTTTGGTCAGGTGGTTCTGGCCCATCTGAAGGACACCACATCCGTAACCCAGGCACCAGTGTAAGGATACTGTTTGTGGGCTTCAGCTCGGCCTTTGACATCATCACCCAGGAGCTCCTCCACTCCAAACTCACCCAGCCCTCTCTGCCTGCCCCCACCTGTCACTGGATCAGCAACTTCCTCACAGACAGGAAGCAGTCGGTGAGGCTGGGGGGACTCAGATCCAGCTCTCACAGTCAGCACTGGTGCCCCCAGGGATGTGAGCATCAGTAATAGTGACGTGTCTGCATCTGTGGGTGTTTGTTCAAAGTTGACTTATTGACACTGAATTATTTGTGTTCGTGCCACAGACAGCGATTATTGGGGTGCAAGCACTAAGGTCTGAATAGAGTCTTTGGCCACATTTAACATCAAATGTTCAGTTAGAATGTCTGTAAATGAATGTGCATTAAGTATGGAAGCCCCTTGTGTGTGTGTGGCTTTAGAATATCTACATTACTGTACAAGGCCCTATGGACTACAGGCAGTACAGCATCACCACAAGCGCAACCTGTGAATTTTTGTCTGACTTGAGTAGCGGAAGGAATATTGCACCAATACACCAAATTTCACAATTCGCAGTCATATAGAAGGGTAATTTTCGCCTGCTAAAATTTGTTTGGGTGTTGTTAGCCATGTTTGGTGAGCAGACAAACTTTTATTAACCTGATTCAAAATGAACATACAAAAATGTGTTTTGGCTAATAACTGTGAATTGGTTTGCCTTCGAAAACAAATCTTGGGTCTACTAATACCATGGGATGTGCCCAGGCTGATCGATGGGAACTTTCACATCCACATAATTGATGTGGCTGTCATATTGGATTGTACTAAAAATGTAAGAATTTTCCATCTTCACCAGATATGTCAGAAATGATCTTCGTACCAAACTTCACAAGAGGTATCAGAGTGATTTTTGATTGCCATTGCCAGGATGTTCGTGTTGCAGTTGTTCTTGAATGTGTGTTAGCGTATGGTATATGATCTATGTTCAAATGTTCCTACATTCTTGTTTTTCCACTTTCTGAATATCTTTCCATGAGATTTACGCCATGATAGTCTGTTTGGCCACATTATTTCTGCCTGCACCTATATTATTATTATTATTAATTACCGTAGACTTTACCATCACTGCCCAGTTTGATCAATAATAAACATGACTACTCCCTACCTGGTCCCATTCAGATACCCCTGCAGGACTCTGAGCATAACCCATCCAGCCTGCAAACCCCCCTGATTCAGAGAGGGGCTTCCAGCAGCCTGGACCAGCCTCTGCTACAGCAGCATTTCATCATGTGTCAGCATGCGGTACCTGCCCTGTAGGTGCTGTTGAGTTCCTTCTCAGTCAGCACCACTACTTTAGTCATTAGGAGCAGAATGGACCATAGCAGCTGATACCACATTGGAAGGAAGTGTATCCAAAGAGCTCAGAAAGCACTCCACCCTATCACTGACCAAAGAATAATCTTTTTATTCAGGCTAGAACCAGTTGAGAAGCACAGTTCAAAGCCACCCACTTGCAGCAATCACTCATAGGGGTTTGACAGGATCAGATCCAGATTAAACATTAGGCATCTCAGGAGATACAAGCCATGGTCTGTGGCTACAACCTACACATAATACTTATATAGAGCAAACTGGACATTAATCACACCATCACTGCTTCCCCCCACCCCCCTCCCTCTACCTTGTGTGAATCCGCTGGTGCTTTTTTAGGTTTGTTAAATGACTGAAGCTCTTCCCACACTGGGAGCACTGGTAGGGCCTCTCCCCTGTGTGAATCCGCAGGTGGATCTTTAGAGTTCCAACTTGACTGAAGTTCTTCTTACAGTAGGAACAGTGGTAGGGTTTCTCTCCTGTGTGAATCCGTTGGTGTTCCTTCAGTTTTTCTAAAACACTGAAGCTGTTCCCACACTGAAAGCACTGGAAGGGCCGTTCTCCTGTGTGAATTCGCTGGTGCTTCTTCAAGTTTGTCAAATGACTGAAGCTCTTCCCACACTGGGAACACTGGTAGGGCCTCTCACCTGTGTGAATCCGCTGGTGGTGCTTTAGGTTTCCAACTTGACTGAAGCTCTTCCCACACTCAGAGCATTGGTAGGGTCTCTCCCCTGTGTGAATCCGCAGGTGGATCTTTAGGGTTCCTACTTGACTGAAGTTCTTCTTACAGTATGAACATTGGTAGGGCCTCTCCCCTGTGTGAATCCGCTGGTGATCCTTTAATTTTTCTAAAGCACTGAAGCTGTTCCCACACTGGGAGCAGTGGTAGGGCCTCTCCCCTGTGTGAATCCGCTGGTGCTTCTTTAAGTTTGTTAAATGAATGAAGCTCTTTCCACACTGCGAGCACTGGTAGGGCCTCTCGCCTGTGTGAATCCGCTGGTGGTCCTTTAAATTTCCTAAATGAATGAAGCTTTTCCCACACTGGGAGCACTGGTAGGGCCTTTCCCCTGTGTGAATCTGCTGGTGCTTCTTTAGTTTTCCTAAAGCACTGAAGCTCTTCTCACACTGGGAGCATTGGTACGGCTTCTCCCCAGTGTGAATTTGCTCATGCACCCTTAGGGCTCTTAAATCACTGAAATTGTTCCCACACTGGGAGCACTGGTAGGGCTTTTCCCCTGTGTGAATTCGCTGATGCTTCTTTAGGACCCCTGCTTGAGTGAAGCTCTTCCCACACTGGGAGCAATGGTAGGGCCTTTCCCCTGTGTGAATCCGCTGGTGACTCTTTAGGTTTGCTAAATGACTGAAGCTCTTCCCACACTGGGAGCAATGGTAGGGCCTCTCCCCCGTGTGAATTCGCTGGTGGTCCTTTAGGTTTCCTACTCGACTGAAGCTCTTCCCACACTGGGAGCACTCGTAGGGCCTCTCCCCTGTGTGAATTGGCTCATGCTTCTTTAGGGCTCCTACTCGACTGAAGCTCTTGTCACACTGGGAGCACTGGTAGGGCCTCTCCCCTGTGTGAATCCGCTGGTGATATTTTAGGTTTATTACCTGACTAAAGCTCTTCCCACACTCGGAACACTGGTAGGGTCTCTCCCCTGTGTGATTCCGCTGGTGGACCTTTAAAGCTTCTAATCGACTGAAGCTCTTCTCACACTGTGAGCACTTGAAGGGCCTCTCTCCTGTATGAATCCACTCATGCTTCTTTAGGTATCTTAAATGACTGAAGCTCTTCTCACACTGGAAGCACTGGTAAGGCTTTTCCCCAGTGTGAGTCTGCTCATGCTCTTTTAGGGCTCCTACATGACTGAAGCTCTTTCCACATTGTGAGCACTTGAAAGGCCTCTCCCCTGTGTGAGTCCGCTCATGCTTCTTTAGGACTCCTACCTGACTGAAGCTCTTCCCACACTGTGAGCACTTGAAAGGCCTCTCCCCTGTGTGAGTCCGCTCATGCTCCTTTAGGACTCCGACATGACTGAAGCTCTTACCACAATGGGAGCAGCAGAGAAGTTTCAGTATCACTCCAGGGTCAAACTTCTCGGG